CCGCAGATTCAGACATTTCAGGTGGAATTTTATATCTCATTTTATTTGTTTACAAAGCTACTAAACAAAAAGTATTTGTGAAAAACTTATTTATCAAATCAAACATATCAAATAGAAACATGTTTTGGAAATTTTAAAGGCCCATTTGCATGGCGTGTGGATAAAACGCCATGTGACTGTGTTTTGACCATTTCAAACATCAGCTGGTGTCAGCTGGGCTCTGTACCGGGCCCACCGGGCTTAACAATCAATTACTAAATGAGTTGATGGTTATTTCAATAATCGATTCATCTGATTAGTTGTTTGAGGCCCAATCATATCTCACACAATGATTTTTTGAACCCGGAGGATTTACCCACCTGCTCCACAGGGTTGATCTCCAGGGTGGGCAGTGTGAACTTAAAGTACGGCCGCAGGTTTTTATAGACGTAGACGCAGGGTCCGGACGCCACGGCGACAACGGGAATGCGTGGCTCAAACTGGTCAATGAAGAGGGCGACGAGGCCGGCGGGCAGGTCCAGCAGGGTGCTCTCGCTCATCAGCGCAGTGCCGCGGTACACCTTCAGCTTCATGCCGGTCGAGCCGGTGCCCAGGTCCCCCACCACCAGGCGGCTGTCGCCGTCCCCGCTCAGGTCTGCCAGGTCCACGCAGGAGGAGAAGGTGTAGAGACCGGCCACCGGGTCATAGTGGGCGTCCAGCCACTTCCCCCCGTCTCCTTTGGACTCCAGCGAAGACATGACAGCAGGAGGAGCTACTGATCAGGAGACACCTGCAGAGAAGACATTACAGTCAATCCAAACAGTGGATCAATGTTACCATCACAAAGCGGATCTCCTAACCAGGGCAACTTTTTCATTATTAAAGTCGTAGGGAAGCGGCTGTTCCATCCGTTGCATTTCAGAATTCTCCCAAATGGTGCACGATTTACACGAGTGAATATAGTGAATGTGATTGGTCGTTTATCAAGGGGCGGGATTGTTGCGGTGGAAGGTTCGCAGGCCAGTTTGATTGTGTCCGGTTTCTCTGAAGCATCTTGCTAACCAGTTAGCAACTTAATGCTAGCAGGTTCCCAATGGGAAATTCCA